AGTCTAACGTGAGCGCGAGTCACAGGGAAAAACACTCCCTTGGGGCGCAGCGAAAGCGATGTGGTCCGATCCTCTCTCGGGTGAGGGGGGCGCAGGACCGGCCCGTCGGGGGTTGTTACGGCCTCGGCGGAGCAAGAGCGCTCGCGTTGGGACCCGAAAGATGGTGAACTAGGCCCGAGCGGGACGAAGCCGGGAGAAATGCTGGTGGAGGTCCTAAGTGGTTCTGACGCGCAAATCGATCACGGAACTTGGGCGTAGGGGCGAAAGACTAATCGAACCATCTAGTAGCTGGTTCCCTCCGAAGTTTCCCCCAGGATAGCTGGCGCTCGCCGAGACAGTTTCGTCCGGTAAAGCGAATGATTAGAGGAGTCCGTGCCGAAATGGCGTGGAGCTATTGTCAAACTTTGAACGGGCGAGAAGGGGTGCCTACCGCTCGATCTGGGAGGCTCGGCCCCCGTCGAAATGTACGAGTGCCAAGTGGGCCACTTTTGGTAAGCAGAACTGGCGCTGTGGGATGAACCAAACGCCGGGTTAAGGCGCCCGATCGTCACGCTCAGCAGAACCCACAAAAGGCGTCCATCGGTAAAGACAGCAGGACGGTGACCATGGAAGTCGGTATCCGCCAAGGAGTGTGTAACAACTCACCTGCCGAATTGGTGGGCCCTGAAAATGGATGGCGCTGTAGCGTGCAGCCTACACCCGGCCGTCTCGGCAATTTTCTCCGGCCTGCCGGTAGAGACTGACCGAAGCCGAGACGAGTAGGAGGGTCGCCGCGGTCAGCGCTGAAGCACTTAGACGCGAGTCTGGGTGTAGCGGCCGCGGGTGCCGATCTTGGTGGTAGTAGCAAATATTCGAGCGAGAACCTCGAAGGCCGAAGTGGAGAAGGGTTCCGCGTTGCTCACTTCGATCGGCCGCGGGTTAGTCGGTCCTAAGGCACTGGGAGAAATCCTACGGGAAGCGGGACGTTTTTGAAAATCATTAAAAATCAGTCTCACCCAATGCACGGGCCGAAAGGG